TGTGGTCGTTTTGTCTTACTTCCCCCTGAAAAGATCCTGTGCAGTACTTTAAGTACATCAGCACAGAGCTGTAGATCTGTGACATTCCCCCCCCCCCCATCACGTGTTGGCCCCTCTGTTAGGGGGCCCGGGGCCTCTCCCTCAGGGGCTCTGGGTGCTGCTCCCAGACCATGGCAGGAGACGGCGCCTGTGCAGCGTGAGCCCTCCCCGCCCGTTGCTGCCATCACTCACCGGCATGCCTGGGTCCCCGCCGTCACCCTTCTCCCCGGGGGCTCCATCCAGGCCCTGCGCACATGGGACGGGTTAGTGCCCCATCCCAGCCAGAGCCACCCCCCACTGGCAACCAAGGGGCTGCCCAAACTCAGCACTGCCCCCCTCCTGGGAACAGCTGGGGAGAGAACCCAGGAATCCTGGCTCCAGCCCTCCCCCCACTAGCCCCCACTCCCCTCCCAGAGCCAGAGATAGAACCCAGGAGTCCTGGACAGACCCCTCCCCCCAGGGCCTGGCTGGACTGGGCTGATGCTGCCACGTGCTGGGGCAGCCCTGGGAACTCCCTTGCCCCCCTCATGTGGGGGCAGCACAGCAGGGCCGCAGGGGCTGTGTGCCCAGGTCCCCGTCTGCAGGCACAGTCTGGGGGAACACGGGGGGCTCAGGCCTGTCAGGATGGGCTGGAGCCACGTTGGGTGAGCAGGGGTACTCACCGGCACCCCGGGGTCTCCAGGGGGGCCTGGGTCGCCAGGGAAGCCAATGGGGCCCTGCAGGGAGAAAGGGTCCGTGAGCCGGAGGCAGAGCCCGAGAGACCCCTCGAGGCCTGGACACCGGGGGAGTGGGGGCAACTGGGGGCTGGGCGGGTGTGTTGAGGGGGTGCAGCGTGAGGGCAGGTGTCAGCAATGAAGTCACGCCCCCGTTCCCCTTATTCCTGGCCCCATGCAGAGCCCCCCCCTGACCCCATGCGGTGCCCCCCAGCCCCGCTGGCCCCATGTGGTGCCCCTCTCCTGTGCCCCCCAGCCCCACTGGCCCCATGCGGTGCCCCCCATGCAATGCCCCCCCACTGGCCCCATGCAGTGCCCCCCCCGCTGGCCCCCTCCTGTGCCCCCCAGCCCCGCTGGCTCCATGTGGTGCCCCCCATGCTGTGCCCCCCCAGCCCTGCTGCACTCACCAGGTTGCCTTTGGCTCCGTCGTCTCCTGGGGGCCCCCTCTTGCCCGGGGCCCCAGCGGCACCCGACAGCCCGGAATCCCCCTTCTCCCCCAGCTCCCCATTCATACCCTGCAGGGAGACACGGGCGTCAGGGCCGGCACTGGGGGGCAGCGTCCCCCTCCCCAGCACTGCTTCCCCCGCTCCATGGTGGCCCCCGCATGGGGCTGATGGACACGGCACAATATGGCGTTAACCTGAGGGCCTAGCTGCCGCAGGAGGGGGCTGGGCCGAGCACCCTCAATTCCGTTCCAGCCCCCAGACCCCTCAGCACGCTGCCGGGGGGTCCGGTCCCTGGTCCCCGCTGCGTGTGCCCTGAGCATAGACAGAGACCCCCCCGTCCCACTGTGCCCCAGAACTTACCGGCCGGCCCGGCTCCCCTGGGGCCCCGGGGTCTCCCGCCTCGCCCGGCTCCCCCTGCGCAAGGAGAGACAAGCAGAGTGAGCTCCGCGCTGCTGCTCCCCCCGGCCCAGGTGATGGGCCAAGCCCCGCCAGGCTGGGGGACCCAGAGGGCAAGGCGGGGGGCAGGATAGACAAGGGGGGGGATTTCTGTAAAATTTATATGGAAATTATGAGTGGCTCAGTTTCCCCACTTGCACTGTACTGCTCCCCTTCCCCCCCCGCCCCGAGTGTTCATTTTCCTTCTAGGGTGGGGGAGAGGGGAGGGGGGCTGTGGCCCCACCGGCCTGTGTGGGCTGGCAGGGTTCACTGCCCTGGAGAGACCAGAGCTGGGCAGGGGAGGGGGCTGGGATGGGGCCCTAGGGAGGGGGCTGGCACAGGAGAGGGGGGTGTGCAGGGACGTTGCTGGGAGGGGGCTTGTAGCTGGCTCTGGGGGGCGGAAGGTTCCCATGCACCCTTCCCAGCTGGGGTCCCCAGGGCCCTGACTGGGGCGGGGGGGTCACAGCATCGGATCCAGTGCCCCTCCCCCAACTCACCTTGTCCCCGACGGCGCCCGGCTGACCCGTTCCACCTGGCATCCCCTGGGGGCCCTGGGGGGGGGGGCAGGGCCAGAAAGAGTTAATTAACTCACCCACTGACCTGACCCAGGGCCGAACATTAGAGACTGGTTAGTATGTAACTGAGCAGAGCTGGGAAATGCAGCCGCATTGTTAGGGGTAGAAGGGAGCTGGGTGCTCAGGGCTTGGGATGGCAGCAAACAAGTCTGGTCTATTGCTAGAGCTTTGATTCAAAGATTAGAAAAAGGAGAATTAGTATTTAGGGAGACACTTGAGGGAAATAGTATTATTGTCTCTTTGAAGGTTGTGGTAACCTGGATCTGAACGGTTAATGGGTAAATGACCCTGTGCTAATTGCCAGGGTGTTTGGGAAAAGGAGAGTTAAGCCTATTGTTTTCTCAGGCCGAAAGGCTGCAGGGAATGTATAAAACCCTGGGACACGCGATCTGCTTTGGGTTTCAAGAGGGGGAAACCCTGAACCACAAGGATTGAGATCCCCAGTCACTGACTGGTGTCTCCCTGAATATGGACATTGGATTATAACCTATGGACTATCATCACAAACTCCTTCCCCCCACAGGGGCTGTGCCCTCCCAGGTAGTGGGGCTCACAGCAGCCTCTGCCCCCCAGACACCCCCTGCCCCTGGAATCTCCCCCCTCCCCAGGAATGGACAGGGAACTCACATCGCCGCCGGCAGGCCCCTGTGCCCCACGTGGCCCCGCAGCACCGGGGGGGCCCTGCAGAGAAGGGAAAGGACAGGCAGTTAGAGCCAGGGAGTACGGGGCACCCGACGGGCACAGTCACTCGGGGAGGGGCAGGAGGGGGATCTGAAGGGAGGCGGAGGGGCAGGGAGATGCCTTCACACAACGCACAGTCAACCTTTGGAACTCCTTGCCAGAGGATATTGTGAAGGCCAAGACTATAACAGGGTTCAAAAAGGAATTAGATAAGTTCATGCAGGACAGGTCCGTCAATGGCTATTAGCCAGACTGGGCAGGGACGGTGTCCCTAGGCTCTGTTTGCCAGAAGTTAGGAATGGGGGACAGGGGATGGGACACTTGATGATTCCCTGTTCTGTTCATTCCCTCTGGGGCATCTGGCATTGGTCACTGTCAGTAGACAGGACACTGGGCTGGAAGGACCTTTGGTCTGACCCAGGCTGGCCGTTCTGATGTTCTTATGGGAGCTGAGAGGAGGAGGGGACAAGGGGGGGGAGGGGAGCTGAGGGGCGGGGGGAGCTCATACCATGGGGCCGACATCTCCGGTCTCACCCTTCTCACCCTGTGGGCCCGGCATGCCCTGCGGAGAACCACACGGGGGGTTAACTAGGGGCATAGGGGCTGCCTGACCCCTCCTGGGACAAGGGCACCCCCAGCTCACAGGCCTACCCCCAAACTGCTCTGCTGGCACCAACCCGCAGCCCCCACTAACCCAGCCCTGGGCTCCCCCCCAGCGTTACCAGTGCCCCTCACTCCCGACCCGCAGCCCCTGCCAGCCCAGCCTAGCTCCCCCCCCAGCGTTACCAGTGCCCCTCACTCCCGACCCGCAGCCCCTGCCAGCCCAGCCCTGCGCCCCCCGCACGTGCTACCAGTGCCCCTCACTCCCGACCCCTGCCCCTGCCAGCCCAGCCTAGCTCCCACCCGTGCCCCAGTGCCCCTCACTCCCGACCTGTAGCCCCCACTAGCCCAGCCCTGAGCCCCCCCCACGTGCTACCAGTGCCCCTCACTCCCGCCTGCAGCCCCCCCAGCCCAGCCTAGCTCCCACCCGTGCCCCAGTGCCCCTCACTCCCGCCTGCAGCCCCCCCAGCCCAGCCTAGCTCCCACCCGCGCCCCGGGGCCCATCCCTACCTGCAGTCCGACAGGGCCGCTCAAGCCAAGGAATCCCCGCGCTCCCTCGTCTCCCTTCTGGCCAAACATCCCCTGCTGCCCACGGCGGCCGGGCTCTCCATCCACTCCCTGCAGGGCCAGAGGGGTTGGGGTCAGCGCCTCCCGGTGCAGAGCCCTCCTGGGGGGCAGAGCTGGGGGTCATGCAGCTCGCAGGGGGGTCACGCAGCTTGGGGGAGTCACACAGCTCGGGAGGGTCACGTAGCAGGACACTGGGGCAGGAGGGGTCTCCCGGGAGTGTCAGACACAGGCCCTGGGCACTAGTGGGGCACGGGTGGCGGGTGTGCGTGACTCCCTGGCAGGGAGCAGAGGGGAGTGTGATGAACTGGGACTGTTCTTACTGTGGTCTGTGAATGCTGACAGGGGAGTGGGGCTGGGATAGTCTGCATTGGGGGATGGGAGATTGCCCGAAGGCGAATACCTGAGCATGTAACATGAGAACCCAGGAAGGGGTTAGAGGCCAGGTGACACCTTTGCCCAGGGAAACTGAACAAAGGCTGTGGGAGGAATCGCTGGAGGGGGAGTTTCAGGGGCTGGCTGGTGATATGGCTGGGAGGCAGACAGGGCTCTGACCTCCCAAGGGGGCTATGGGGCCCTGGGACCCCAAAATGGACCTAACTAAGGGGGGATCCTGTTGTCTGTGCCTGCAAGACCTGTCTTGGGCTGTGTTCCTGTTGTCTAAATAAACCTTCTGCTTTACTGGCTGGCTGAGAGTCATGGTGAATCACAGGAAGCCGGGGGTGCAGGGCCCTGAGTCCCCCACACTCCGTGACAGGGAGCAGTTGGGGGGTGACTGTGATGAGGGCCCTGGGGGGCCAGCTGGGCGCTCCCTAGATACTCACCGCGGAGCCGGGGTGCCCAATGGGTCCCTGGATACCGGTCGGTCCCGGTGGGCCCTGGTGGGGGAAGCACAGAGATAGAGCTGGGGCAAAAGCAGCCCCTAAACCAGTCCCCCACCCCCTTACCTGCCCCACTGTTCACCCACCCAGCATCTCCAGCCCCTTCCGAGCCCTCCACTACAGCCCTCCCCTGTCTCCACCTGCCTCCTCCGCACGGGCCGGACTGGGTGTGAGGAGCCCGGTGGCGGGGCCCAGTCAGGGCCCCCCAGCGCTGCCCCCGGTACTTACCGCCTCGCCCTTGTCCCCCTTGCTCCCTTTCTGTCCGGGGCCCCCCAGCTCTCCCTGCAAAGGCAAAGAGACCTCGATGAGACCTTCTGAGGACCCCGCGCCAGGGGAACTGTACCCAGGGACCCCGCCATCGCCAGGGGAACCATCCCAGCAAAACCAGCCATCGCCATGGGAACCGTCCCCAGGGACCCCACCATCGCCGGGGGAACCCTCCCCCCAAAACCAGCCATCGCCACGGGAACCGCCCCCAGGGACCCCACCATCGCCGGGGGAACCCTCCCCCCAAAACCAGCCATCGCCACGGGAACCGTCCCCATTGCCAGGGGCACCGTCGCTGGAGACCCCAGCTCGGCATGATGCTCCATCCCACCTACCTTGTCGCCATCCTCGCCCGCAGGGCCCGGGGGTCCGGCTGGGCCTGGCAGGCCCCTGGGCCCCTGGATCCCATCACGCCCGGCAGGGCCCATCGGGCCCCTCTCGCCCTGTGGGGCAGAAAAGGGAGCAACCAAAAGTAGGGTCAGTGGGGGGGCCACACGGACCAACCCCCTCCCCCCACCCCACGGGGCACAGACCGACCCCCAACCCCCAGGGTCCCCAGCCCACCCCACGGGGCACAGACTGACGCCCTAGAAAGGGGCAGCTCCCCCGCTGCACTCACACTGCCCCCCTCCAAGAGCCCCACGGGGGGGTCAGGGTACAAGCGCAGCCCTGACAGGAGCAGCCAGCACTTACCGGGGCGCCCTTCTCTCCAGCGGGACCGGGGGGGCCCTGCTCCCCCCCATGGCCTGGCAACCCGATGCCTCCAGCTGCCCCCGAGGGGCCTCGCTCGCCGGGGGAGCCCTGGGGAGAATTGCACATTGGTTGGGGGGTGCCGTGCCCCCAATTCCCCCATGGAAGTCCCCCCACCCCAAGCCCCACTGAGACCCTGCTCTGAGAGCCATCAGAGCCCACCATCCTGCACCCCCTCCTGACAGCGCCCCCAAGTCCCCCATTGACCCTCCCACCGACAGCCCCCCACAGCCTCAGCCCCCCAACCCCACAAGCCTCCCAAAGGCCCCCCAAGAATCCCCAAACCCCCTTCCTGCCAGAAGTCCCCTGTGGGCCCCCACCCCAGCATGGGGATGGGGCCATGGGGCCAGCTACTCACAGTGGGGCCCGGGGGCCCGGGAGGCCCCTCCCTGCCCTTCAGGCCAGCCGGCCCCTGTGGAGGAGACAAGACAGAACTGTTACACCCGCGGGTGCCCCATCCCAGCACCAGCCCTCCCAGCCCCCCACCCAGGCAGCACTCACCGCCTCGCCGGGCGCGGCCCTGGCGCCAGGAAAGCCAGGGATTCCCGGGGGGCCGCTCTTCCCAGGCAGGCCAGATGGGCCAGGGTCACCCTAGGGGACAGAGACGGTTAGCAGTGCGTGGGGACCCCTCCCACACCCTACACCCCCACCGCAGGCAGACGCCCCTCACCCTACCAGAGCCAAGGAGGCAGGGCCTGGGGCAGGGCACAGCCCCCCATTCCCCAGAGCTGGCTGGGGGCGCCGAGCCCCTGGTCCGTACAGGGAGCAGCGAGGGGGCCCAGCAGGCCGAGGCAGAACGCGGGGGGCCGGAGCAGGTGCTGGGCACGTGAAGAGCGGGAAGAAGGTGACTGTTTGCCAGGGGGCCCTGAGCAGCTGAACCCAGGCCCAGGGTGTCACAGCCTGTGACGAAGTGGGGTTTTATTCATCTTGTTATGCTGCATGTGAGTCTTACTGTCCTGTGCTAATACTGTGTGTGCCTCAGTTTCCCTGTGTACTGCACCAATACTTAGGTGGTGGGAATTGGGGGTGTGAGTTTTGCTGGGGCAGGTGAGGCTGTCCAGGTATTTGCACCTGTGTAACCTGACCCACAACTGTCCTCACCCACAACGATTTCACATTTGGGGACAATATATACCTTCAAGTCAGC